CTATGTCTCGTAGCTATGGGCGGAGGGATGCGGCGAGATACGATTCGCGAGTGTCACGGTCGCACGTCGGCCGAAGGCATCTTTCTTTCCGCTGCCGCTTTCTGTACGCTGATTTGTTGAGACAAAATAATTAATTTCTCAAAAACTATTGCGAATATCGCAAACCGGCACAGGACTTTCTTGCTCACTTCAATCCGTTCTACGTTCTCACCAAGGGTCATCATGGGACTTCGGGACACCCTGTATAAACAACGGTATATTAAGTTGGTATAATACTCATCAACAAAACGTATTGTATTGATTGAATGCGTCGCCGTTGATATGCATTGTCGATATTAAGATTATCTAATAAAAAGTTACTATTTAGTACATGTATCAAGTGCACGATATAAACCAAGCTATAGATGTGTGCATGCAGAATCCATTGTCTGTTGACACCGAACGGCGACAATCGTTGCCATGCGTACGCGTTCCGCGTGCACGTGTATGAGCGCGCCTCTCCGTATCGCCTTGCAGCAGTGTGTGATGTTTGCGCGTAGCAGCAACCGCACGGCAGGAAAACTTCATCGAAACGAGCTCTAAAGACGAAATTTATAAATGTGTCCTGACATATTTTTAAGACGTTCTTGAGTTTATATTTATATACTTATTTGTTTATCACGTGTTTATACTATATACTTTCAGTATTAAGAATAAATGTCAGTCAGAGAATTAAATTTTACTTTACTACATAGCAATACAGGTTTATGAAATTTAATAAATGAATTTTTAAAATACTGAATACAAATTTCTTAATTTAAAAAATTATGTTTTTTGAAATGATGCTTTTTCGTAAATATTTGCTTAAATTAAACGTTGCAGAGTTTTTAAAATAAAATAGAATGTTTAAACACAACTTTTTTAACATAATTTCAATTAAAAAAAATTATTTTTTAGGTATAGTTTATTATATATGTAAGGAGACATTAATTTAAATAAAGCCAATATATCAGCTTTATTCAAATATACGTTGCTTGAAATATAATTAACTCTAAAAAAATATATATTTATTAATATATATATTTTTTTAAACATACCACTTATTATCTTCGAACTTTTGAAATAACTAACTTTAATAAATATTTACTAACATTTCACAAAACGACATACTCACGTGTCCGAATCTCGCGATTTAAAAGAATAAAGAAAATGCTGTTTCTGTCCGCTGACATATTGTCAGTGTATTATCTGTATCATATTTATATTTGTATCTCACATTTCATAGTCATTAATAATATTTTATCAATAGTTATTAATACAAAATATAGTTAATATAAATAATTATTAATAATACAAAATATATGAAGCATAGCCTTTCATATATTTTAGTTCATTAAGTTAAAAAAAATTAAATTTAAAAAAAATAAATATTTTGCAAAATTTGTAAAACTTGTTTACTCGAAATAACGTAATCGTTTTCGTTGAATATAGTCACTGAGAAAAAATGTTGTTAAATTTAATAAATGTATTTAAATAAAACAAAATTAGCTCTATTTACTTTAATAATATTTTAAATATAAAACCTTGTTTATTTTTAGCAAATTAAAACATAAAAGTTACAAAATTATTTCTTGTTCAAAAGTTTGCTTCAATGTAACTTTTATTTCTTATATTGCAACATAACATGTGCTGAAATGTAATAAATACATTGTTTCAATGAATCTGAATTTCTTAATTTTGAAAAAGAAAAGTTTAGTAAACATTTGTTAAAATTAGTCTTTTCAAAATTTTAAAAATAATAAATGGTGTGTTAAAAATGAAATGTAAATTTTTTTGGAGTTTATTATATTTCAAGAAACTTATATTTCAATTAAATATATATATTAATTTTATTTAAATAAAGATTTCCTAAAATATAATAAATGACACTTCAAAATTAATTATTTTGTGTTTAATTAGTGTAACAAATAATATATTTTTTCAACTTTACATTTATTTTTTGTAAAAATCAGAAAGCTTACATTAAAACAAATGTTTGCTAAAACATCATTTCTAAATTTAAGCAATTCGTATTCAGTATTCTACAAATACATTTGCTACATTTAAACAAACTTGCATTGTATTTTAGAAAACCTGAATTTAATTCCAATAAACCGGTCAATAAAATATTTGCTAATTTTAATGCTTCCATTTTCTTAAATTTAATACGATTTTTCATATTTAAAGTAATATTTACTTAAATGAAGTTGATCAAATTTAAGCAAATGAATTTACTATAATTAAACAAATTTTTTTCTCAGTGGATATATATATATATATCCCTTAAGCATTGACACAGATTTACAAAAATATTTCGAAATTTAATAATTACCTGAGAAAGTGTACGAAACGTCTTTCCTTGTTGCCACTTCGTATCTTACGGGCCAAAGAAAGGATAGACGGACGCGATGTGTATACGCTTAGTGTACACTAAGCGTACCGCTTAAACGGTAGTGAAACAGCAATAGGTTTTTTTATTTCATTGGGAGACTATCAAACTGTGTGTGTGTGTGTGTGTGTGTATGTGTGTGTGTGTGTGTGTGTATGTGTTATGTGAAGCACCACATCTTATTTTTTTTATAGTGTGACGTGTGATATCTGTTAGGTTTTTGGATCACGGTATCTCAACCTTAAAATAATAATAACGATGATTCTAGACTTTTCTCTCAGTCAATGTATATGTATATATATATATATATGTTCCGTACGGAACGTGTCAGACGGGCGGCCGGACCCCAGGAGCCGCACGGCTCGCAGTCGCCGGCCTCTCGTCGCGGGTTGCGCCGTCGCCGCGACGCGGCGACGGTGTCAACCGAGCTGTCGCTCGCGGTTAAATTTCGACTAGGCGCCTATATAAGTCGCTACATGTAACGGTTTATAGCCTTTTTGAGTGCGCTTGCACGGTGGGTCGTTGCCTTGAGAGTGTCTATGACACGTTGGCTTACCTCGCGTGAGGTATTTTTGGTAACTCCACGAATCTCCACCTTCTCGATACTACCTGTGATTGAGAGAAAAGTTCGCGAGACTATTACGGGTTATCTCGGAGCTTCTACCGCGGGTGGTTGGATGCTTCCGTGCGATATTTCACACTGCAGAAATCGTGCATCCGTTCGACAGAACTCGGTACTGTCTAGAGAGACCTGTAATCAGAGTCGCGCAACCACGTAAAGGTTAGGTTGGCGACGCAATGTTTAGACTAAAACCATAAGCGAGAACTTTAATATGCTAGGGGCCGGTTTATCAATACTCAGTCAAGTTAAATTTGACTATTAGTTAAGTGCTAACTATAAGTTATGTGTTTATCAATGCAAGATAACTAACAGCTATACATTAACTGTTGGTCATAGTGATTGTTAAAGTAACTGGCAGAATTTTTGTCTGCTAAATATAACTGACAGGTAACCACAGACTTTAGCGGTCGGTATATAGAAGTCTCAGCAGTTAACGTAACCTAACTTTTGTGTAGATATTACACGCTAAACGACGTGAGCACACACTCACACTGTAATATTATTATTTTGTAATTAGTTATTATTCTCAATATGAATTTAAACGATTTCATTGACAATGATGAGGAAATCGTTGAATTTATGGAATGGGAAAGAAGACCACACATAGTACAAAATAGAATCAATCACTTTGACAAATGGGACGAATTGGATTTTTTTCGAAGATTTCATTTAAAGAAACAAACAGTTTTGATCATTTTAGAGCAAATAGAAAACATCATTGAGACTCCTACGGATAGGTATCTATACATAATTTGGTATTTACTATTAATTTAAAATATCAACTAACAAATATTTATTTCAGAAATCTTGCTATTAGACCAATCGACAAGCTTCTATTAACTTTGAGATTCTATGCATTAGGCACAATGTTAATAGCAACTGGAGATTTTGCGGGTGTTAGCAAGAGTTCTGCTTGCAATATAGTCAGACACGTGTCAATTGCGATTGCACAGCTAGCTCCTCAATATATTAAAATGTCATCTAATGCTGATGAAATCAGTAATGCACGAATAAAATTTTATAATAGAGCAAGAGTTCCACGAATAATTGGTGCTATCGATTGCACACATGTTAGGATCCAATCTCCTAGTAAGTTATTATTAAATGAACCTTTTTTCACAAATACTTTCTTAATCTTTTTCATTAACTTTTTAAATATTTTTTAAAGGTGGAATAAATGCAGAATTATTCAGGAATAGGAAAGGTTATTTTTCTTTGAATGTACAAACAGTGTCTTCGGCTGACCTTAAAATATTAGATATTGTAGCACGCTGGCCAAGATCAGTTCATGACCAAACAATATTTAATAACTCGAGAGTAAAAGAACGACTTGAAAACAACGAGTTTGGTAATAGTTTATTGGTTGGAGACAGTGGTTATACGAATACAATGTTTGTGATTACCCCGCTACTTAATACTCACAATGACATCGAAGAACTATATAATGAGGCAATAATCCGTACACGTAACCCTGTAGAACGACAATATGGTGTATGGAAAAGACGTTTCCCCATCTTGGCTTTAGGACTGCGGTTAAAGTTACAAACGAGTATGGCTATTGTTGTCGCTACAGCAATTTTGCATAATATTGCGTATGAAAGAAATGAAGAATTACCATCACAAGATGCTGATTTATGTATAGACCAACATATTTTGAACGAAGATTGGGACGCACAACCGTTACAGCCAGATGATCGACACATAAATGCAAGAGCACAATTAATTGCTGATTATTTTCCAAATTTATTATAATTATATTTTCTTTCGTTAAGTGGACTTTTTTGTACGATTTTGGAAGGAAAAATTAATAAAAAAATTTCATTTAATATTAATTTATATCACATATTTGTTATATTTAACATATGTCTACATGTTTACATATTATCCAAAACACAAAAGAAAAAAAATTAACACAATTAAAAGAACAATTAAAACTTTTATATT